TAACTTCAAACAACATGTATGTTTGGTGTTAAATTTAATTCCCTCAGGTTTTAATGGTTGATTAATTCCATTGGGGAGTTTGAGATGCTTATTTAACCCTCTCTTATCCATGTCATGTGAACAACATTACTTCAATATCTACTTCATCTTATGACTGCAGTGAAGTATTAATTCATACAGATAGTATCTTACAATGTAGCCAAAGAAACCAGCATAAATGTTTGAAATAAACATATATTCTTATGTTTATAGGGAAATTGTAGCAAAAGTTGAAAATGTCAACTATTATTTAACTGTTCAACAGTACAAAAGAAGATATAACTACCCCAAGAAGGCAACAATTTAAAATTAAGCAAAAGGGTACCAAAACAAAAAAACAAATAAAAACCCAGAAGTAAAAGCAGGGAAGAAAATGGGTTCCTGCTACAAATTCAGATTTTTAATTTTATGTATATTTTAAACCTTTTTTTGGACTTCCCTTTACGTGTTCTAATTGAAATCATCTGCTGAGAAATATGTGCTATACTTCTGTAATCAGCAGAGCCCTAGGTAGGTCTAGTAAAAATAGGAGAAAACTGCTAAACGTTACTCACCATAAGATCTGAAATTAATCATATATTTTGAGTCAAAATGCTATATTGCCAACATGTAACAGCCTCCAAATGCCACTTCGTGCTTGACTGTATATGTTGTTTAAGTGTCAGCCCACTTCCAATTGTATTACTTATATTTTTGTTTCATTGTCTTTTCATCAAAATACATTTCACTGTATTTACTAATAACTTTCTCCAAAGTATTGTTAATAAGCAAATAGGGATCATAGCTTTCCCAAAAAAATCTTAAAATTTTGTCTAAACATCATAATTTGAATTAATGATGCCAAACTGTTACCCTTCACATTGACTGCACTACAAATTCCCATCAGTGGGGCTAATATAGTTTATGGTGGTTTGGGTTTATAAAAGCTGATGTCTACAACTGGACATTACTCAAAAAAGTAATGTATTCTTTTTGGTCAGTGCAAACATACACTGGTATTAAAGAATGAGTAGGAGTCCCTTGAAAGCGGAAGAATCCCTCTGATGTAGACATCAAATGATACCTTGATGAATACATTAGTTGAAGAATAATTTATGGGTGAATAAATTATTACTGCATCCCCACAATTCATGAAAAAGATACAGCTCTTTTAATGAGTTGTAGAAAGGTGTTTCATTTGTGCTTCTGCATATTCCAAAATTCCTCTTCTGAAATTTATCAGGGGTACCACATATCCCCATTAGATTGATTCCAGGAATGATGTGGCTACAACTCCTAGAATTCCTTTACATTGGAAGAGTTTCCGAAGGTATCATCTGCCATCATCCCTAACCCATGAAAGTGGTATCTGGGAATGATGAAAGCTGCAGTTCAAACATACTGAGAATATTATTGAAATAGATTGGTTGTTGGTTAGGCTGCTGTTTAAAAATGATTTTATATATATATATATATATATATATATATTTGTTTTCTTATATATATATATATATATATATAAATAATGTCTGTCTGTCTGTCTGGATCTTTGGTTATTCGGGTTTTCTCCCGCGTAAAATTGGAAATAATATTAATAATAATAAAATACTTCCAATTTTACGCGGGAGAAAACCCGAATAACCAAAGATCCACATACAAATACCCGCAAAAACCTCAGAAAACACACACACACACATATATATATATTTCAAACCAACATTCTAATTCAATGAAGCTATCAAGCTTGCTATTAGAGGGAATGATGATTCTGGGATTACTGTGAGATATAACTTTCTGGATGCATGAACTAAGAATGACTCTGATAGTTCATTGGGAATTGATTAATCATGTTCAGATTCTTAAAAGCTTTTTGTTTATACAGATTCCACTCAATATTTATGATGTGTTTAATAAATTGTTCATATAGACATCCTTTTTACCATGTGCAAAAAGAATGAGTAGGAGTCCCTTGAAAGAGGAAGAATCCCTCTGATGTAGACATCAAATGATACTATGTGCTAAAGGGATTAGAATTCATACTATTGTTATCAGCAGGATACTGGGGATGGAAAGAGTTAATAATAATAAAAAGTTTGTTCAATGATTTAAACAAGATTTCTATGCAACAAAGGAAAACATTTGCCTGTATTATTGAGAACCAAAGCTACTGCAAAACAGGCTGTGTCACTTTCATTAGTGAAGCTTGAAACCTTACGTTCTCATTTCAGGGTTTCCCATTTGTGAACATTTGGTAGCTCTGCTCAGATCAGCAAGTTCTTTTGATTAAATCAACATATCACGGCCTCTCACTGAAGCAAGTTTTTAAAAGCTCAAAAGAAATGCAGCAGCCAGGTGAAGATTTTACAACACAGGGTAGAAATGCCAGTGAGTTGACTCTTGAAACTGTAAATGTCAGTAGTGGGAATGGTTGCTGGAAATGTGGAAAAAGCAGAATCTTCTGGTTTAAAAATCATTTTTATATCCTGAATTCTAAGTCAAGACTGGAGGAAGAAATGTGATTGAAACAAACATAGCAAGGAAAAAAGAATAACAGTGTGCACAGAGAGCCCCACATGTTTCGTCACAAGGGAGTTGATTTTGATGTTGAGTCTACCTCCACACAACAAATAATGCATAGGAATCCACATTTTATTTCCATCCTTGTCTCAGACATGCATTGACATTTAACATTTGAATATACAAAGGAAATATGGAAATAAAAGCAAATGGTCTAACTACCTGAGGAAGAATGCCCAGGAAGCTTTTATGAATTCTCCTCTTATCTGCCCCCATATAAAGTTCTCTAAGCCAATAATCTTCCCAGATCAAACAAAAAATAAAATTGCATACTCATAATTATAAAGAAGAAAGCAATATATACGTGGGTTCTAACCTAAACTTTATTTTTCAAAACTGGATAAAATGTAAATTTATACAAAAATGGAACTAATGAAATAATTTTACAAGCCATGGTAATTCCCATAGGTTAACATATTTAATTCTTATTTTATTACCCCAAAATGGTGAAATGGACTATACTGTTCCTTATGGAATAGAAATAAACAACTTGGGGATCAGATAGAATGGACCTAGTTATTTTTTTATGATTTTCAGAAAGGCTTAGCATGAGAAAAATAAAAAAATAAATTGATACCTCTCCCCTGCTACAATCTGAAACCAAATAGTTCATTCTGATATCCATGCTATTGCAAATATCAATTACGTTCCTCTTCAGGTTCATCATCTCTAGCTTACAGGAATTCACTTGCAGCTTTTCCAAAGTGGGTTGTTCAGTATGTCCAATAAGTAATGCTGCATCATTATCAGAACTAAACTGGAATTCTTGATTCTCACCCAAAATTGTTGCTAATTCCTACACTGTACAATTATTACCAAAGAAGTGTTTTATTCTCCTACTTTAACACCATCAATTAAAGTAATACAGTAACGCAGGAAACAAACTTCAGAAGGTCACAAACTAGTAAGAATGTTATATCTTTTGTAATGTTGTATTTAAACAAAAATAAGCCCCATTAAGTTTACATCGAAGCCACTGCACTGAATTATAATCTTCAATTTATAATGACCACAATATGTAGAAATTAAATGGTCTTCTAAATGTTGTTCAACTACAAGCATGACAAATAGTTATCCTGATTGGGATAAAGTGAGCCAAAAAGCCACGGTTAGGCAACCTAAATCCATAAAACTGATTAATTGCCTATTCCTGTTGGGATAGATAAATGGAATCCATGTTTTGTCTTCCAAGTATCTTTACTGACTTGTTTTATTCTTCATTCATATTATGGCTTTACACTGTTTTAATTGTATTGCAATTTTTTTATAACTGTTTTGAATGTGTTATTTAAAAAGGAATTATCCATTTCAAAACAAAGGTAATTCCTCCATTAGTATTTCAAATGGCAGATGAAACTGGAAGTTATTAGACACGTACCTATATTAATTCTATTTTATTACATGCGGCTATGCTAGAATAAATTAAAACGGGACTGTGTGTTTTAGGAAATCCAGGAACAGTCTCAGCATGTTGTGTGAACCAATGGCTTACTTTCCTTGGCATGGGTTGCAGTGTGAATGCATTAAGTGTATTTTCCTGGCTGAGCCCAGAAGGAGGAGTGTTGTATCAGTCTTTTTGTTTTAATCCACCCTTCCCCAAAGGGTGTGTTTCTGAAAATGCTGTTATTCTTCAATCTGCTCATCTATAACAGGAGTCTTCAAACTTGGCAAGTTTAAGACTTGTGGACTTCAACTCCCAGAATCCCTGAGCTAACATGACTGGAGGAGGGATTCTGGGAGTTGAAGTCCACAAGTCTTAAAGCTGTCAAGTTTGAAGAACAGAATAACAGAGTTGGAAGGGACCTTGGAGGTCTTCTAGTCCAACCCCCTGCCTAGGCAGGAAACCCTATACCATTTCAGACAAATGGTTGGCCAATCTCTTTTTGAAAAGGAAAAGGTTTCTTTCCTTTTTTTTTTTTTTTTAAAAAAAGAGAGCCCTGGAACTACTGCTGGAAATGTGACATATCAAGCTGGGTTATTCAAAGGGTCAAATTCACTGGCAAGAGTTTTGTACTCCAGGCTTTTCTTTCTTTATAAAAAGTGGGGAGGATAAAATCTGGAGAGAGAGAGAGAAAAATCACACACATATATATTTCTTTTCATTCAATTATTCAAATACTTGATTTGAGTCATGACATTTGATTTCAGCTCTCAAGAAAGGGTTGGTAATGTGGCAGGGGGGAGTCGTGGCAGGCTTCCTCAGCTTACACGCCTATACAGCCAATACCCCGCAGCTAATTCTCACAGGGTCTCTCTTCTGTTGTCCCTTCAGGCCTTTGGGTACACAATTCGCCTCCCCTCATTGACCCTTTAATAAGGCCGCAGCCAGGTCCTCCATCTTTGCTCCGTGCATCCCCGGGGTCGTCTTCTATCTAGTTGCCAAGGCAGCGGGCCGCTCTCCTCACCTGCTGAGCTATGCTCAAACCCTCTGCTTTCTCAACCATTTTCCTCCCTCCGCGAGGTCCGTGTTGGCTCATCTGAACGACAGGGCTCCTCTCTTCGCCGGATCTTTTCAGACGCCAGGTGCTGACGTAGGATCCCGTCGGGTGAGGGAAGCCTAGGCTTTGACAGCCGCCGCAGCCATCTTTGTCACGGGCGACGCTGCCCTCTCTTCTTGCCCGGGCCCCTCTGTGTTCGAGGGGGGCGTGGCTGTCCCCACAGAAGCATCAGGAACGGCCATTGCAACGCTGCGGGCTGTATTAGGCGATTGTTGATGTTCTGTAGCCTTTTTTTTTTTTTTTTGCATTTAAGTCGCTTGAAAATAAAATCATTACAAAATCCGTCGGGGTGTGGGCATGCATTTTTGTTATCGGTTTTGTTATTTAGCTGGCGTCTCCTCCCGATAGTCCCGTTCGTGGCTCTTAAAATTGGAACGCTTTTAAAAGTCGTGGGGTGCTCTTTTGCCAAGCTATAATTATGAAGTGTTGTGGTCGGCTGTCCTAAAATTGTGGAATACGGGGTAATCATTAGGATACATATAAGTTTTATATAGCCTGCAAAAGAATTTTTCAAATGTGATTAGATCGTCAGGAACATATTCCTTCGTGTTGCTCCCAAATAATGTATTATTAAAACAAGGAAGGAATGTTGTAAAAAGTGGGGCAATATAACCAGAAGATGCAATTAAATGAAATAATGTCTGAAGCAGATGTACTAGAGATAAATGACATTGTTTAAGAATTGTTACCCCCTAATAAGACCAAAAACGATAACAACCACATTCCATTATCCATTTAAAGCCAAAAATCTGGACAGCATCTGAAAGACACATTTCCTAGCCAGACAAACTGCCCAAATACCCTTAGGATTTAGGGTCATCCATGTGAGGTTTAGTTCTTGGTTAACTATAGTGTGGTGAATTGCTGCCTTGATCTGTCTTTGGAAATTACAGGTAGTCCTTGATTTACAACAGTTCATTTACTGACAGCTCATGTACTGACAGCTACAACAGCATTGAAAAAAGACGAGAGACCATCCAGCACGTGGCAACCGGCGCAAAGTGACCAGCGAGATGGCCAGCAGCACCCCCATGGTTACATGATGAAAATTCAGATATTTGGCAACTGACTCATATTTCTGACAGTTGTGGTGTCCTGAGATCATGTGATCACCTTTTGGAACCTACTGACAAGTAAAGTCAATGGATAAATCAGATTCACTTTCCAACGGTGTTACTAACTTAACAACAACGGTGATTCACTTAACTGTGGCGAGAAAGGTTGTAAAATGGGGCAAAATTATTTAACAAATATCTCACATAGCAATAAAAACGTTGGACTCATTTGTGGTCGTAAGTCAAGGACTATACTTACAATTCTTTCATGGGCATTCCAATTTTTAAAAAAATCTCCTTATCTGTTATCTTCTACATCTCTAAGCCTTTGGTGTAAGCATCTTTTCTAGTCTTCCATTTACTGGCATTATATGCTTCAAATATGTGAGTGTATTGTTAAGGAAACAACGTCAAGATTCCGGCAGTTACCCTCATTTGTTAACTCATGAGTTGACAAACAACTAAGACTGATTGATTGGCTGTTGTTTTAGATCAGGGGTGTAAAACTCAATTTCATTGAGGACTGCATCAGGGTTGTGTTTGACCTGGGGGGCGGCAAGGTGGGCGTGGCGAGGGTGGGCATGGCTAGCTCAACATTACTCATGTTGAGGGCGCCTGTGTGAGCTCCCGAGATCTATTTTCGGTTGCAATGGCCTCCTGCAACCCTCTGCCAGAGAAAACTGCAACCCTCTCCAGAGCTCAGGAGGATTGCACAAACTCTGTTTTTGGCTTTGACAGCCTCCTTCAACCCTCTGTTTTCACTGGCAGAGGCACCATAGGCCAGTCCTTCACTATTTCTAGGGTGGCCCCACATGCCAGATCTAAGCACCCTGTGGGTTGGATCTGCCCACTTGAGTTTGACACCTCTGTTTTAGATGGTAACTTTATTTTATTTTATTTTATTTTATTTATTTATTTATTTTTGTTAATTGCTTACAAGATAATAGGTATAAGTAAAAACATAGTTATGAATACATGGATGCATATAAGAAAAATAAATAAAAGAAGAAACAATAGGAGAGGGATGGTAGGCATGTTGGTGCGCTTATGCACGCCCCCTACAGACCTCTTAGGAAAGGGGTGTTTCTATAATTGATGATTTTAATGTTTTTTTAAATAAGTTAATGCTTTTGTTGTTAGCCAGCCAGTGTCATTTGATATGAAAGGGCAACAAATAAATTTCATAAATAAATAAAAATTCGCATATTTGGTTGATGCATTGGTATAAAATGATAAACGTCAATATCTGTTAGTTTTGCATGGTAGTCTATACAAAAGACATATCCAGGAGTACTTGTTCTATCTTTATGTATTATAAGGTTACATTAACAGAATCTTGCAAGTCCGAAAGTACATTTCCCCCTTATTCCCAGGAAACTAGGCAGGTTCTACATCCACATTCCTCCTTCAGATTCAGCTATTGCTTGTCTGACCATTGACTAGTTTGCATCTCTTCCTCCTGTCTTCAAAGGTAATTTCCAGATATCATTACAATATTCCAGGAATTTAAGACTTTGTGTAGGACATGGAAGTAAAATAACAGCATGCAAGATATAAATTATTCTTTATAGAATTCAAGTATTAACTGGATCAGTATGGATGAAATGTTATGACCATTGATGGGTCAGCTATACAGTACAGTCATTTCAGTTCTATTACATTTTATTAACAGTGTGGCAAGGTGAATGGATAAACAATAAGAGAACAATGTGAGATTGGGCTTGAAAATGAACTCCAAACATTGTCAATGTGCAAGCCAGCCCTTACAAGAAACAGGTTTGCATTAAAATTCTTTTTTTAAAAAAATGAAAAAAATCTCTTCATGTTTGTGTTTTCGGCTCTTTGCCTTTAATATGTACTACATGCATCTCTCCCCTGCGACCAGTGCAACACAGAATTTTAATCGAATATTTATTAAAAGAAAAGCAAATTCACAACATCTTTCTGCAGATTTCTTATATTTCTAGCAGCCTAGAAACTCTCAAAATTATGGGTCTTATAATTAAACTAGACAGGTAAGTACCTCTGGTATACTGGGAAATCTATCCAAAACAAGACAAGCTGCCACTAAAATACAATCATCTTGTGTTCTTGGGCAGAACTTAATCATCTGTTATAACAGACGGGCCAAAGTAGTCTGAAATGAAAATAAAGTAATGGTATTGCTTAAGAAAAAAAAAGGAAGGATATTTTGGCAAAGTGAACGCGAATCAAATTATTGGTTTCATATAACCAGAAAAGCTATTGAAACATAATTCTGATTAACATCTCATTAATATGTAAATACACACATTACTGAGCACCACTATTATGCATTTATTGGTGTTTTTAAAAATGCACCTTGGGGATTTTTTTTTTCTTTATCCAGCAAATACCTTCTATAAATACTTCTTTCTCTCTGTTCCATAGAATTTTTCATTATAACAAATCTTACATGCTTTGCCTTGCATTGGAATCTGTTTTTCTTTATTTCCTAGGTCTCATTAACAGATAGTCCTTGACATATGACTGTAATGGAGCCTGCTCATTATGGTCGTGTGTCCTGAAGATTGTCCTGTGTTTGACCCAATTTTATGGATTTTTTTGCAATGGTTGTTAAGCAACTGCGGCAGTCATTAACTGAACCAATGTTTGGCTGTGGGCGCAGTTTTGCCAAAAACTGGAAGTAAATGCCAGAGGTGGTTTTTTTTTGGCAAAGCTGGCATAAAACATGGTCACATAACTATATGATGCTGCAAACAGCCGTAAATGTTGCTGTGTACTCTAAGTTTGGTCACCAGACTAAGAAGGAGACCTGGCCATTGGCAGTTTGGAGCCAGGTCCTAAGTCACATTTTTAGGGTCTGCCATAACTTTGCATGGCAGCCAATTGTAAGCCAAGGACTACTTATACATCTGCCTTCCTCAGTCTGGCTTCCACTAAGTGCCTGCCAGTACAGCTGTTCTCATCTCAGAAAGCATAACAGTTGACCTTGAGGGTCCTTATCAACTTTCTTCTTTTTCTTTTGCTCCATATCAATCTAGACCAGGGGTCTCCAACCTTGGCAACTTTAAGCCTTGGTGG